GTTCAACATCTGCAGGACGAGGAGACGACATGAGCTCCAGGGTTTAACATCTGTGGACACTGAGGGCATGTTTTCTTTTTTCTGATTTCCGTCATGCTGACAGAAGACGTCTCTGAGTTCTCTCTCCTTCTTCATGTTGTTCTGGTTCCACAGAGCTGCAGGACTTGGTGTTGCAGTGAAACATGAACCAGTGTGAGTTCAGAGGGCTAAAGACAGAATCAACTCGAATACAGAGACAGTAAAATATTACCAATATGCACTGTGTCCGGGCCGATGTTGAAGGTGTTGATGACCTGGCCAATAAACCGCTGAATGCTCCTGAAGTCCTCTTGGGAGAGACTTGAAGAGTCATCCACCAACATCACAATGTCAGCTTTGGCTGCTTCACACTCAGCAGCTGCAACAAAACAAGGGATTGTGGGAAACAAGAAAACACCAAAGACTCACCTCATTTCTCTACTTAGAGCCTCACAGTAATCAGATTACTTCTACAGTATTGTCTCTAATGTGAGATTATAAACTGCCAGTTCAGATTTCATTTATTAAATTTAGGCCTAAAGTTAGTCCATCTTTCATTCCAGCCCCGTATCATGATGCTACCACCTCCGTGCTTCACTGTCAGGACCATCCATCCACTGTGGTGGTCCTGGTCAGGTTCACACCACACATCTGGACTCCATCTGAGCCCAACACATTGATCTCCATCTGACCAGAGGATGTTCTCCAGTCTGTCTTCAGTGCTGTTTGAACTGTACCACTGGGTCATAATATATGTCGCTCTGTTTGTATGTTTGTGTGTCACATTTCTTTTATCCTTAACAGAACACGTAAATCAGATGCAACAGACAGATAATGCAGCCGGATTAAGAGACTCTGAGGCAATGAAGCCTCTGATACCTGACTAAAAATGGCTTTGCTAAGACTGCTGCCTCCGCGACCCGACTCTGGATAACGCAGAAGATGGATGGATAGATGGATGATGGATGGATGGATGGATGGATGGATGGATGGATGGATGGATGGACACAGAAACTATGCTACACGAGCAAAATCTGGGACCAAAAAAATCAAATTGAGTGAAATTAAATGTGACAAAACAACCATAAAGAGACAAATGAGCACAAACAGATGCAAAGTGAGACACAAAGTGTTCAAAATGAAATTAAATGACCACAAAGAGAAGTAAACCGGTCCAAACCTGTTTACCTGCTGAGATGACGAATCCTCCACCTCCGAGTCCTGAGAGAAACAGCATGAAGCAGAATTCTGATCAGCGGCCTCAGTGGAACACAAACTGATCAACGAGGATCAGCCGACCGACTTCCTGCTGCAAAGCTGGTCGAAGCTCGGAGGCTTAAATGTGACAGAACTAACGTCATGAGATGCATAATGAACACGAAGACGCACAAAATGTCCAAACTTTGATGGAAAACAACCAAAATCAGACACAAAATGTCCAAAATGTGACAAAAAAATAATCATAAATCGATGCAAAGTGACGTCAAAGACACAAAATAAAAACAAAAAAATGCAAAACTTCCCAAAACGTTTTATGATGAAATAAAAGTCTGATTGTAACTCAATATGATTTTGTGTCTTTGTGGCTGTTTTGTGTCTGATCTTGGTAGTTTTGCATCGATTTATGGTCGTTTTTTTGTCACATTTGGGGAATTTATTGACTCATCTTTGTCCTTTTGCACCTCTTTGTGTTTGCATGCATTCAATTTTGGTGATTTAGTGTCACATTTGATTCATTTTGTCTGATTTTGTGTCTGTTTTGTGTCTGATCTTGGTAGTTTTGCATCGATTTATGGTGTTTTTTTCTTGTCAGACATTCTGCAGCCTGATGGTTGAGCTCCACCGTTGGCCTCCCAGCGCCTCAACAAAGCAGCAGCTGGTTCAGAGTAACACAAACTAACACAAAAAACAACCAAAAATGAATGTAAAATGACCAAACAGAGACAAAAACAAATCACACACAATAACCACAGTTATAAAACTAAAACCACAAAACGGCCGCGATCAAGCACAGCACGGCTCCGAAGAGACGCAAAAACCACGAAACCACCAAAGTTAAACGCAAACAACCACAAAAAGGTGCAACACAATAAAAATCTAAATCGAACAAAATGTGACACAAAATGTTGACGAATTTAGATGGAAACAAACACAAATACGTCGATAAAGGAACAAAGCAGCAGGTGTTTCAAAGCAAGCAGATTAAACGACTAAACTTTACAACATGAATCTACAGAAAGTCAAATTAGAATCAGACCTGGAAGAGTTTTAACCCCACGTGTTCCTCATTTTTACTTTTCCTGACTTCGGTGTTTTGGTGCCGAGCTTTGCAGCGTCGAGTCGTACCTGAACTCAGCAGCAGCAGCAGCAGCAGCAGGTGATCCATGTCCAGGTAGACGTCCGTCGGTCCGTCTGCTCACCAAGTCCTTCTTCTTCTTCTTCTTATACCTCTTATATCTTTTATCTCGCCATCAGTCAGCAGACGAGCTGCTTCTCAGAAAAGACGACTCTAAGCCACAGATTACAGATGTGCGGCCTGGTGTGAGCAGATGTTGTGATATCTTCTCTGAAGGTTTCCTCCTCCACATCGCGTGAACTCGTATTAACCTCATCTGTGTGCTGCATCAGTCACAGGACGGCTCAACAGGAAACAGATCAAATCGATGCAGCACGGCCAGAAACGGCGTCTTTTTACTGCACACGTTGTGAATGTGAGCTTTGACATGTTCAGCAGGAACGCTGACCGTCTTAGTTTCACTGGTTTTCGGGTTCAGCTCTGCTCATTATCGTTAAAGTCAGAGTCAGTGTGAGCTTCACCGTTCTGACGTTGGTCCAGAACAAACCTCCAGAAATCCACCAGACAAGAAGACAGTCGAGAGTCTGTCTGGTTTTAGTTTCCGTCAGTGTCCCAGTGATGGGCTCTGCATCGCTTCATTCACTGTGAACGAATCCAGGATCTGAAGACGTGTCTCCAGCAGAGCGTTCCTCGATTATTTTTATCTCTGTTTTTCTTCGAGCCAATACATTATTTTTACCTATTTAAGTAGCTAAGTGTTCAATCCATTACTTTAAGCTAACTGTTAAACTCAACTATTCATAATAAAACCTTCAGCCTCTGATGGAGGGTTCCTTAAAGAACTGTTTTGAGCTCAAGAGGTTCCTCCACAGTGTCGATGGAGAAGAACCCTGAAAGGTTCCCCGAGGTTCCTCTGCTTCTGAGAGTGTTCAGTCAGGAGCAAAGTGATTTTAGTTCCCCCTGAATGTCTGAACCACGTTCCATCTCAGTAAGAGATGTCAGCCTCCTGCACGATGTTAAAGGGTTAACGAAGCGTTTGGCAGGAAACGTGTCAAACAGCGATGTGAATAAAAACAGATTATGCAGCATCTCCCTTCCTGCCAGAAACCTCCAGGACGTTTCCTCTGCGTGGCTCAACTTCTTCACACCAATAAAGACGTTTCCTGCAGAAACTGGTGCAGAAAATGAAAGACGTTCAAAGACAGTAACGACTGTGAAGACAACGTGTGAAGTAAAGACATAAAGACGCTTCAGCTGGTAGAAGAAAAATGATGTACGGTTCATAAAAATACAGACTTCTGATGTGGACATTATTCACAGTGTTGGATTGTTTTTAATTTACACAGTTAGATTTTTATTATTATCATTTAATTAAATACAATCTATGATGTGACAAAACCAAGGAAATCTGTAAAATAACAGTTCTTCAGTCATTCTTCATTCGTTAATGTAATAATGGCAAACATCTGGAAAACAATCATGCTTTAGTTGATTTAAATCGAGTAAAACGGTGAAATTTAACGTTGTCAACAAATGAATTATCGTTGAATAAACACTGATGAGTCGCTTTTCACGTCGTTAATATGCGAATAAATCCTGTTCTCTGTGATTCTACACGGTTTTATCTATAATTTAATTTATTCTGGAAAACAAAGCAGGAAATCTGTAGAATCAAAGCAATCGACCACCAACCACCATCACACACATGAGTCTGGACCGTTTACCCAGAATGCACTTTGTAAAGTTTCCTCTGGTGACTGATCAGAACCAGAACCACATCCACGGTACCACTGATTGTTTCTATGACTCTGTGTCATAGACATTAAACTGGTACCACTATGATCCATCCCATAATACTGACGCTACCAGCTGCTGACAGAGGACATGAACAGAACCAGGTCCAGTGTTCAGACGGAGACACCTGATGGATGACAACAGAAACAGAAAATCTGTAAATCTGTAGATCAGCTTTATTGTGAGTTCGGCTGTATTCAAATATGTGAGAGAAGCTAACAGATGTGTTAAACTTCCTTCAGATCATCTGAAGAGCAACCAGACTCTGGGTCCGACGTGTTCTGCAGCAGTCGACCCGACGTGTTCCCACAGAGCAGAGAGGAAACAGATTAATCCTGTAAATACGTATAGATCTACGCTAATGCTCCAGATATCTACAGATACACAGAGAGAGGACGCTCTCAAACGGCTGGACGTGTTGATTCCAGTTTTTTCAATCTTTGTAAAACAAACAATCAAATAAATGAAACTTTTTCTTTACTCCTGGTCTCCATGGTTCTGAGTCCTGCTGACAGAAGACGTCCCTGAGTTCTGTCTCCTCCTTCACGTGGTTCTGGTTCCACAGAGCTGCAGGACTTGATGCTGAAACATGAACCTCGGTGAAGATAAACGGAGAGGAGTAAAAAAAAAAAAAAAAAACGCCCAGAAACTGTTCAGAGTTCAACGGTTTCCACTGAAAACATTCAGAAGGCGGCCTCCTGCGGTTCCCCTCCATCCACCCCGACCTCCTCTTTGCTTCACGGCTCTTTAGCATAGACTGTATAAGAAATACCTGCTATGCTCTTTAGCGACATCACATGACCTCCTGCTGCCCCTGTGATCATCACTGTGACCACGAGAGGGCGCCGTCACAGTGAGACATAACTGGTACGCTGCACAGACGATCCGTGGGCTGAGTTCTGGGTAGAGGTGAATGAAGTTAGTGGTTTAGCTGTTAGCTACTACGCGTTAGCTTGTTATGCGGACCGAAGCTGCGGCTAACGTCCGACGCTGATGTTGCAGATCTTGCAGCTGGGGTCCTTCTTGGCGTTGGCGGTGGACAGGCTCATGAGCTGGTGGCCGCTGATCTGGGCCACCGTCCCCAGCGACAGGTCCACTGGCTCGGTGTAGATCACCTCCAGGATGACGTCCTGAGCGTGGCGGAAGGACAGCGAGCCGTCGTCCTCCTTGGTGCAGGTCAGGAAGCAGTTGCTGGACCGGTCCAGAACCGGCAGCCTCCCCTTGCAGAAGGAGTCTCCTGGGGAGCCGACGGGGGCCAAAACCACGATGACGTAGTGGTACGACGTGTACATGCAGTAGAAATCCCCAAAGTAGATGTTGGTGTTGTGGTTAAAGAGGACGTCTGCTTGGATCTGTACCGACAAGGACGGACAAAGTCTTAGAAAAACCCTGGTTCTGTAAAGAACCCCTAAAAGTGCCTCAAAGAATACTCAGAAAATGGTTCGTTTGAGGCACCAAAGAACTTTAGCAACAGCGGGCTCTTGAATGAATCATTTCTTCAAACGGATGTTTAAAGAAGCCATAAAGGTGCACAGAAGAATCATCAAGGAATGGTTCCTTCAGGCACAATAACAGATGCTTCGAGCAGAAGGTTCTTTCAGGAGCCATTTATTCAAGCAGTTTTTTTAAGAACCTCCAAAAGTACTTCAAAGAACCATCAATAAAATGTTCCATTTGGTACCATAAATGGTGCTCCACAGAACCTTAGCACTTGGACAGTTCTTCTAATGAAGTACTTTAAAGAACTGAAGGTTCCTCAGGTAACTATAAAATTAAAGCTGCAACTAACAACTACTTTCATTCTGATGAATCAGTTGGTCCTCAGTGCGTCATTTATGATTCCGAATGGAACCTTTTGATTTGGACATTTCTTTTACTTGTTTTGTTTTTTTAAACCAACTTTATTAAGAAATGGTACTTCAAAGAACTTAGTTTGCTGAACCTCTTTCAAGCATTATTTATGTTGCCTAAAGAACCCCTTTGAGGGTTCTTTAAAGAAATGGCTCCTTAAAGAACCTACTTTCATTTAGGTTTTTTGGAGTGTAATTTATTGTGCCTCAAGAACCCATTTTGGACTCTTTTGAAAGTTCTTTAGATAAACATTTGATGAAATGGTTCCTTAGAGAACCTACTTTTGCTAGCATACTTTGGAGTCTAAGGAGTCTTTTTAATGTTTTAAAGCACTTCTGGGTGAACTTTAACTTTCCAGATGAACCATTTACCGCCACAGAAGTCGTTGTCATGGTGCCTGTTGCTAGCGAAGACTGAGTGACGCCTCCTCTGGTCTCTACAGGGTTAAACAGTGAGAGGCTCCACCTGGTGGAACAACCAGGTACTACAGCTGGTCTGACACATTTACTGACATCACGGCCTTTGTTTTCTGCCTCATCCGTTAAATTATCATCAGTAATAAATGACTAATCATCAAGATCTCTAATCCGAACACAACAGTGACACAGATTTCGGTGTTTAACACACCTGTGTGATGACATCACTTCAGCCTCAGAGCATCACCTGGTGTGTGTGGTGCGTTCAGGTACCTGGAAGCGGTAGGGTCCGTACGGAGAGTCCTGTGGGGGTTTCCCGGTGTTGAACTCGGTGTTGCAGCTGAAGAAGATCCCCTCCAGTTTGCCGCTGATGGGCGAGCCGTGGCTGCCGCTGTCGTCCTTCACCGCCGGCAGCAGGTGGCGACACTGAGCGTCTCTGTTCACAGCACACACAGCGTTAAAACACAGCAGAGGACGGACGAGGACATCGGACGGCAGCAGGACGCACCTGTCTGGCAGGAAGGACTCCCTCTGCTGGTTCCTGTAGAAGACGGTGAACGGCAGCATCCTGCCGGCGATGGCCTCGGCTTTCTGCAGCAGCTGGTTCAGGTGGACGGTGGAGTAATCTGCAGAAACACAGCCGGCAGGTTTACTCACCACAACACCACAGCTGTTGTTCTGGCTTCGGCCTCCGTGACACAAACTGGTTTGTCGTCTGCCGTTTGTTTAAGGTTTCTGCTTCCTTCTGTCGACAAAGTGAACCCTTAACTTTAAACGTGAACGAAATGTTTACAATTATGTTTCTTCCTTGATTAAACTTTAAAGGACGAGAAACAAAGATGGCCGATAATGAAGAAGTCTGAGGAAATGACCACTTAAGTAAACCGAACAAATCAGTCGAGGCCAAAGTGGTTCCACGAAGGTCAGGTGGAGTTCACACAATCAGGCTAATTTGATGCAGGTTCAAGTAGTCGCATGGAGGCTATTCTGAAGTTCATTTTCTGTGACTTAAATAAAGTCTAGATCTGGGGTCAAATCTGGGACGTTACAGAAACTCTGGTTGAACAAAAACTCAGGCTAAGTGTCAGTTAGCCAGACAGTTAGCCTGACAGTTAGCCTGACATTTGGCCTGACAATTAGCCCGACAGTTAGCCTGACAGTTAGCCAGACAGTTAGCCTGACAGTTAGCCAGATAGTTAGCCTGACACTTAGCCTGACAGTTAGCCAGATAGTTAGCCTGACAGCTAGCCAGACAGTAAGCCTGCCCTAGTCCAGGTACGTTTACCAGCCTAAGTGTCCAGAGACTAAACTATCTAACTTTGCTGCATGGAACTCAAATAAACCTAAAGGAAGTCAGACTAACCAAAACAAGCCTGACTTGTTAAACCTGCTGTATGTTTTTGCAGCAAAGTGTGTTTCAGGTAGTCGGACCTGCGGTGCAGAACTCGATGATCTCGCTCCACTGGGACACGGCGTATTCTCCATCCGGCTGTTTGGCGGCCGTCTGCACGGCGACGGTGTACTCGGTCCGAGGACTCAGGAACCAGTGACCTCGGACCGTCATCGGCAGCGGAACCGCCTTCGCCACCAGCTTGGTGGGAACGTCCTGAAAAACAGCAACAGAGGTCCTCAGCTGGAGAACTTCTGCTTTTCCTTCGTTCTACGTATCGTCTGTGTAACAACATCCTTTATTTATGGAGCACTTTTAAATTCCAGGTTACAAACATTTAATCCTCTAAATCCTGAAACCCACCAACAAGTTTGAAAAGTAGATTTTATTTAAAAACCTCCAAAATGTTGATCCGCCAGGAACTGGAAATATCATCTCATCTGAAATATCAGCTCCCTGTATACTGGGAACCAGTTCAACCAGATACAACGTACTGGAAGTCAGTCTGAAGAGGCTGAAACATGAGAACCAGCCTCACAGGACCTCTGCTTGGTTCCCACCTTGTGTTTGAACTTGTTGCAGCTCAGGTTCTCCTTCTTGTTCAGGTCGATGAAGTAGTGGCTGATCCGGTCCCGGCCCCTGCTGTCCATGGACCAGCTGATCTTGAAGGAGTCGCAGGTGATGCTGCTGATGTGGATCTGCTGAGGCAGCGGCAGGTCGTCCACGTCTCCGATGCCGCTGTCTGCAGACTCTGTTCCTGGAGAAGGTCACGACAGCAGATACGCTCATTGATCTACTGATCATGTACAGCACCAGAGCTTTGCTTTGAACCTTCGTACAAATGTCCCGTATTGATTATGTTCCTGATGCTGGTGGTTCATTTTGGATCCGTTCCACCTCTAGTTCATTCCTTACTCTGAAAAACAGCAAAAACCTTCAAACACCTCCATCTGCACGTCAGATAACAACTCATCTGATCTAAAAGCTGCTGGAGGCGACCAAACATCATCTGACTGGATTTAAACTGGAACTTATTCAAGTGGAGTTTGGTTTGTTGAAGCTTCATTCTCGATCAGAAGCTCACGATCATGTTCGCTGTCGGTTGTTTTCTGGATCAGTCACCAGCTGTTTGTCTCTGAAATGTCAGAAAACTGTTAAAAATGTGGATCCGAGTTCAGTCAAAAGATCTCGAGTCACAGAGAAACGAAACCAGAAAACATTCACATTCCAGTAACTTCAGTGTTCAGGGAGACAGAACATCCTCAGACCATCTGTTATTCTGCAGTTTTATTATTAACGGATGCAGACCAGGAGAGCCCCAAGACCCGAGCCATCCCAGGGCCCAGACCTACCAAGAGTCCGGGAGAACCAGGCCACCTCAGGCAGCCACCCGGCGTGGGCCAGCACCACCCCAACGCCCAGACACTCAGCCCTGTGAGAGAAGTCTGACCTTACAGATGTTTCCATTATTCAGAAACAGTTTGTGTGTCAGGAACAGAAAACAAGAAAACATGGTGAATCATTTTCACGACTCTGGGCTGTGAAATTACAGATATACAGATGGTTTCAGTTTTTAAAAAAACACTCAAACCGATTCATCTGATCGGCAGGTGGAGGTGGAATGTGCTGATCACAGAGTGAACATGAGCCTCAGACCAACACCAGAGACGTTCTGGAGGCCTTCAGCTGCAGAACGAGTCCGTCTCTAAGTGTGGAGCTGCAGCTCTGCTGCGATTTTACAGAAGCTTAAAGTCGCCGATCAAAGATTACAGCAGCCGAGAGCTCGCAGTGGGAGGAGCCTGGAGATGATGTAAGCAGATTATGTCAGAGCGATGAGGCCTCCGAGGTCGGACAGATGTGACCCTGGATCACATCCGCCTCAGAGAGGAAAGCTGACGAACCGGACGGCTGGAAGAGTCACGTCTGCAGCATCAACACCAGCTTATGTGTTTGTGGTGACGTCTATGGATGTAGAACCTCC